GCCTCCTTTGAAATCTGCCTAACTGCAGCTGAAAAGTGAATTGTTTCTTACTATATCATATATGCATGAAATGCTTACCAATAATAAGTTCCTTTATTTTCAACGACCCAAATGACTTCTTACCGCCTCGTTTGCCATAGAAGCTAAACTGTCTAGCCAATTCGTTACATATCAATCGCCTTAAAATATTATTCACCTGCACGGTTAGATCCTTCCCTCCAATTGATGCAAAATACGATACCTGTAAACCTCTTTATTAAAATTTTTGAAAAAATGTATTTCAGTTATTTACCATGTGCATAAAGTTCTGATTGTCTTGTAAATATGCCTCGAAGTCCTTTACATTGTCTAGACTTTTAAGCGGAAAATCGCAAGGAAGGTTTTCAGGCAATGAATTCAATGCCGGAATGTTTACAGAAGACTGATTTTTTAATATAGCCAAAATTTGTGTATTCTGCTCTTGGAGAAACTTTAACTGCTTAAAGAGCTTAATTTGAAAACCTAAAAGGGTAATAAATTGTAACAGAAGGCATTTGAAATAAGTTAAACATACCCGTTTCCTCCCGTTGTTTTGGAAAAGGTGTGTCCTCCAACAAAAAAGTACCAGATCTTTCATTGGATGATGTCTGTGAACGATAACGCAGAGGTGTGGTAACCGGAGCTGGACGGGTCGGGGTTAATACGTCCTGTTCACTCTGTGACAATGGATCTTCCAAAAGGCTTATGTTCTTGGTCAGTGCAGATCGATCGGTGCAGATGAACCATGTCCTGTATATAAATGTTCATATACTACCTGCATAAACTTTTCGGAGTCGTAAAAAATAACACGGTGGTGTAATAATAAAGAAGTAGCAAATTATTTTTCAAGAATTCATTTGATCGGTACTGGTAAAGAATCATTACGATCAAAATGATCACTAGTCCTTACTCGCACATGCTCAAGCTACAGAAAACAAAGCAGTTGAAAATATAAGTACTAAAGAAACTGAACGTAGACAATAATGATGGTGAAGACGACCCACAAGCCGAAGCCGGTAAATGACAACGGATTTCGATGGGTTCACAAAAACATATTACTTTTACTAAATGTCTACAAAGAATTAGAAGAGAAACAGTATGATGGCAAACTATCAGAAAAAGTTTTGGGATCTTGTAGCCAAAAAACTCCAAGATAAAGGTTTTGAAGTTTCAGGGCTGCAATGTAAAAGTAAACTAAATGGAATGAAAAAAACCTTCAAGAATGTAAAAGACCATAATGGAAAATCAGGAAACGGCAGGAAAACCTGGACCTACTTTGATATAATGAATGAAATGTTTGTTTCTAAACCATGGGTGACCCCAGTCAAAACTCTAGATAGCAGTAACAAAGTGTCACGCGAGAGTTCTCCCCATACAGAATGCAACTCTCCAGGAGGTAGTGTCGAAACCCCAATGAGGTCAACGAAGAGAGCAAGGATCGCAGATGACTCTTTAAATATGCTGATCGAGAGGCTAGAAAAAAATTCCGAAGAAAGAAAAAAAAATGCACGAAGAAAATTTAGAACGGCAGGATAAATTACTAGACCTTTTGGCAAAGTTAATTGAAAAGTGATATTACTCGCATTTCTACAGGAATATTCTTTTTTATTTTTTTATTTAACACAAGTTTTATAAAATTCTTATTTAAGTATAAAAATATGCATTATCTTATTTCTAAAGTACGAAATTAAACATCCCTCATTGGCAACTGCGCACAAATCGTATCTCTTTTTGCTTTCCCAGCATCAGCGTCCACACCAATGATCCTATCATTCCTTGTTTGATTCATAGTACGATGAAGCAGAGAGCAAGAGAAGCAAGTTGGTCGTTGTTCATAAGGCATATATTATGAAGTACACAACATGCTAATACGACATCGGGTACTAAATCGCCACTCTTTGCATCGCAAGTTTATCTAAAAGGCATCTCCATCGCCCTTTTAACAATGCAAATGACCGTTCTATAGAAACTCTTGCTGAAGAAAGACAAAAGTTATAATTTTTTTGTCGAGATGTTAAATGTCCGTTATCTGGTACGGAGTCAATAGATTGGCACAAATTGCATATGCAGAATCACCTACTAAATGAGTACCTTCTGCGAAATATCTTTCATTATTTATGTAATCAGCCAAGGCTGACCGTCGAAACACGTACCGATCCGACATTTCCCACATTACAATGAGTGAACAATCCCTTGTGATCACATACCGCCTGAAATAAAATAAATGATAGGTTTGTTATAAAAAAAAGCTACCCCTTCAAATTCACATTTTTGTTGAAAATAATCATTTACCTGTAATTGGATGGTTGGTAGCCTTTCCTGTTTATATATACTTCGGGGAACTCTAGTGGAGCAGGAATGCGAATATGGGTTCCATCTATAGCCCCTACAATTCCAGGGAATGCACTCGTTTTCCGAAATCGCTTAGTTATATTAATTGCAGCTCTGCCGGTAGGCCACACTATAAAGTTGTCTAGCCTTACAATCAATTCACGAACTACTCGCCTCACACTCCGAATAGCAGTTGCTTGTCCTACATGAAACCGTAAGCAAATTGATCTAAGAAAGCATCAGATATTACACCATATTTTTTGTAAAAGTTGACACTCACCTATACGAATCGGGTGTAGCAAGTCGCCAAAGGGCAATTTGCAGTTGCTTTGCAGGTGACACCATTGGATTTCCATCCAATGTTTTTCTGACTAAACTATCACCAATTTGATTTAATACAAAATCAAATGTTGTAGGAAGCAACCTAAAATGAGCTAGGTAGTAACAAAATTTTCATAATATTGACAAAAGAAAGCTATTATTGGAAGTTGAAGGATAACTTGTATGTACCTATAGGAAGTATTTACCTGAAATGGGATTTGAACTCGATGCTATTCATTTGTGGTACAGTTTTTTCAGTGAAATGCAATATTATGATAGTAGGTGTTCTACTGGTACTTTGTTTGTTCAAACTTTTTTTCAGGGCCACAGAACTCACAATATCTTCATCCTCATCAGCATAATTATTATGAAAAACAAATTTTGCTGTCGTGAACAATAAAGCGACGGTAGTTTTATCCATTTTATTTTAGTGATTATTATTATTACAGAATACTTCAAGGGTTAAATCGTATACCTACAAATCATCGATACACATACTAACTTAACCTCAAAACGTAAATAAACATCTATCAGTGCTCCGCATCGTTCCGTTTGAAGCTCTACTTCCTCAAATGGAACACTATTTCTGTAAGCGTTTTTAGTAAAGCATTTGCATTTTTGGTAGCGCCAAATGGAACGTCAGTTGATGAGACGTTGTGGTAACGTCATTTTTAAGACGTTACTGTGCCGTCAATTTAGACACGCCTTATTCACGTTTTTCTGGGTCATTATAAATGAACATATACTTGTATGACGAAAATTGTTACAGAAAAATTGTAGGCTGTAATAATGCGATTGAAAATTATTGTCAGTTGTGAATCTAGAATGCACTCGTGGAAACATTCTAATTTCGCGCTTTGTTATTACGTACAAAACGAAATAGGGCGAACACTTCCGAGCTGCATTTGTGCAGTCTCGCGCATTTTGATCGACGAGCGCGCAAATCGCAAAGATGTAAACAGTTGGCTGTCATTTTTAGCGCATTTCCACAAAAATAAAAAAAAAATGCGCTATTGTGGCCACTTTGTCCGTCCGTCCGGCTGTCCGTCCGTCCGTCCGTCCGCTCGTTTTGCGACGCTACTAGTTCTTTATCTTAAGAGCTATTATTCTACTTTTTTCGCTATTTGGTTCGTTATGGTGTCGAGTCTTGTACCAAGGAAGGAATTTTTTCTGTACCGCTTACAAAAAAAGTTATTGTAAAAAAAACAAAAAACCGTTTTTTTACATGTTCTATAATTTTACACTTTTGCCGATTATTAACGATCCTAGAGATCGTTTATAATTTTGCATTGCTATCTGTCGTCTGCATGCTGGTCTGTCCGTCTGTTCCTTTGTCTGGCTGTCCATCTATCTGTCCGTGTGAACGATAACTTTGTTTAGAAATGTTCGATCGCTTTTACATCTCCGTTAGTTATGAACTGAATTGCATGTAATTCAATATGGGCATAGCTTTAGCCATATAATACGCAATGCCAAAAGTTGAGTCGAATCGATTCAAAATTCACAGNGCACTTGGAATAAAGGAAAATCAAACGCCAATTTCAAAATTTGGTTTTGCGCATGCGCAGTGCCAACTTTTTATTTATGGGAGAATTTAAACGAAATTTGATACATAGGCACTTGGAATAAAGGAAAATCAAACGCCAGTTTCAAATTTTGGTTTTGCGCATGCGCAGTGCCAACTTTTTTATTTATGGAAGAATTTAAACGAAATTTGATACATAGGCACTTGGGATAAAGGAAAATCAAACGCCAATTTCAAAATTTGGTTTTACGCATGCGCAGTGCCAACTTTTTTATTTATGGAAGAATTTAAACGAAATTTGATACATAGGCACTTGGGATAAAGGAAAATCAAACGCCAGTTTCCAAATTTGGTTTTGCGCATGCGCAGTGCCAACTTTTTTATTTATGGAAGAATTTAAATGAAATGTGATACATAGGCACTTGGAATAAAGGATCATCGAGCGCCAGTCTCAAAATTTTCTTTTGCGCATGCGCAGTGCCAACTTTTTTATCTATGGCACCATTTAAGTGAAATTTGATACTTAGGCGCTTGGAACAAAGGAAAATCTAACATTAGTTTTAAAATTTTTTGCGCAGTTCCAACTTTCTTATTTAGAAAAGCATTGAAATGAAATTCTTCTCATAAACTGAAATTGAAGTAACACGTCAAAAATGGATTGCCCATGTGCAACGCTATCTTTCATATTTGTGGCCGGATTTTTAAGATTTTAACAGAAGTTGCATCTTATAAATGGGAAATGAATGCAAGTGGAAATGCGCTTTATGTAAATCGTTTACGATTACTTTTTAACTTGTTTACATGGTATAGCGGTCAACCAACGTGTTATTGTGTCTAAATATCGTAAATATTTTATCATTCAGTGTAGTATTTATTATGTACGAATTGGTAGAGTTTGACGACGCTGCCGGTGCCATTTCGATTGTGCATACCTCATGGTTTACCCCGCGCAAAACGGAGGTGTTTTTTGGCCTCCATATAATGAACTCGGCAAATTTCACCAGGCCGTTAAAAAAGGAGAAGCGGTAAATGAATCCACATGGGAGTTATGCAAAGTAAAACGAACCTTTTATAACTGTGGTAAGTTAAGTTAAGACTCGTTTACATGAGTAGATTTACATTGATTGCTTGCTTTCTACTAAGTCAATTTAGCGGAAATAGTATAGTTACTCCTTGCATTCTGGATATACCGATCTAGAGGTTTTTACAAAAATACAACCAGTGTAATCGGGTAGGTAGTTTTGCTATGGTTAGAATTGTTGCCGCAATTGTTTTCATGGTAGTTCTTACTAACCTGGTAAAACGGGTGGAACTTTCGTAAAGCTCAGGGTGTAAAACAAATACTCATTCATGTCAACGGGTTTAAAGCTTTGAGCAATACTTTCGGCTCTAACTCGACGTTGTTCCATTCCATTACAATAGTTAAATTTCAGATGATTTTGAAAAGATTAATGAGAAGTTAAATCTAGCAAAAGAGACATCTGACGTTCAAAGCGAAACAGAGAATTTTATGGTTAAAAGGAGGAAAATAAAAGCCAGGAAATTATATGACAATTCAACTGATGACGAAGAGGATGTAGACGTAGGATTGAAGCGACCACCTCAGATTCAAAAACCTATTTGTAAAAGTGTGGTAATTTTTTTATGCTTCGCAATATTTCTATTAAACTCTCCATTTTCAGAAAAAGAAAATTGTGTAAGAACTGTGAATGATAATGAAATTGTACAAGTAGTAAATACTCCAACATCGTCTGTTTCCACTCGCGATTATGCAGCAGATCGTAGCCTACCGATAGAACTAGCTATGACACTGATCCCCACTATTGCGTTGACGTCACAACTGACGGCGGCCGTCATATCGACTTTTAGGGCCGGTTTATTCAAGCTCAAGTAAAGTTCAAAGTAAGTTACTGGTTCAAGTAAGAGAGACATCTGTATATTCACAGCCAAGTAAATTTACAGGGGCGTGTAAATAGCTTACTGGTAAAGTAAACTTATAGGCTACTTCAATGCGCCAGTAAGGTGTTACTTCAGTTATTCTAACCTCACACTTTGTATTGTATGTAAACAATGGACGTTATCGACGATATTTTGTTATTTAACGAAATGGATATTATTAATAACATTGAAAGGCGACCCTATAATACAATTAATAGATTTCGTCACGTCGATAACTTTCACGAGTGGGATGAAACTGATTTTGTAAGACGGTTTAGATTGTCTAAAGCTTCCGTCCTTGTAGTATTAGAGTTAATACAAGGTGATATTCGGGCTCGTACTAACAGGTAAGTGCAAAAGTATACATTTGTGATGATGGTATGTAATTACGTGTTTTTTGTCAGGAACAATCCCATAGCTCCATTGCAGCAGTTGCTTGTTACGCTTCGCTTTTTTGCAAGTGGAAGCTTTTATATAACCGTGTCAGATTTCGGCGGAATACATAAGAGTACTGCGGCACAAATAATAAAGAGAACCGTAACTGCCTTGTGTCAATTACGCCGGGACTATATCTATTTCCCAAGAGATCCAGAAGAGCAACATAATGTCAAAGCAAAATTCTGCAACATTGCAGCATTTCCAAGAGTTCTTGGAGCCCTTGATGGTACCCACATCCGGATTCAATCACCAGGTATGATCAAAGTTTAAGTACCTACCCAGCAAACACCATTATATAACTGTTATAGAGATATTATATAACCCTGTTACTTTACTTATGTTAAAGTAACATCACTTGAGTATCACATGTAAGGTTCACGTTAGTTATTATTTCCCACTCAAAGACACATTGTAGGTATATTGCGACTATATAACGAGGTTGCTTTGCAGTTATATAACAAAATAAGTAACTGTTATCTAACACAACGAGATAACGTCTATATAACAGAATAACGTAACTGTTCCATAACCTCTTTAAGATAACAGCAACATTGCATAATGCAATAACTGTTATCTTACAAACGCAATAATGAAAATTTAAGAAAGATTTTTTTAAGTTTATTTCCATACATTTACACAAATTTCCAAAATATCTAATGAAAATAAAAGTAATGCCTAAATACATATAGATTACTTTTCACGGTTGAGCCTCTGTTTCGCAAAACGTAACCATTCACTACACATTTGCTCGAATTCATTTTCCTTAGTGGAAAAACTTGAGCAAACCACATCTGAAAAATATATTTTATAATATTGTAACGATCAGAACATTAAACATGTACCTTTTACTATAGCAATGCAGCGCAACTTGTGCATAGCAAAATTGTTTTTTCGACCCATCCAGGAACAATTCACAGCACAGGCATTTGTAAATACACTTTTTAATATGCGGGAGATATTATCCTTGCCGCAGCTTCCTCCAATTCCAGTAACATATTTCTTCTGCAATATAAAGAATGCACTTTTAAATTTTCGACATACAGCTGTACATGCTTGAAAAACGCGAGAATAACAACGCAAAGGGATTATGTGCTTTAATACTTCAATTCAGTAATTTGTCTGTTTGACATCATTGCGCAGAGGAACAAGGATAACGTTATCGAAGAACTGTGCAAATTAGAAAGACATTTAGTCCATAAAACCCATACTGTATGCAAGGCTTTTCGATTATCTTTTCATTAACACCGCAATTCATTTATTGATTGGTTAGAAGCAATTAAATTATGTATTAACCAACCGCAATTCATTTATTGATTGGTTAGAAGCAATTAAATTATGTATTAACCAACGAGCTAATCGAAAAGCTTAATTTTATTAAAGGGCCCATTTTGACATTTACTCAACAAAAACATTCACGTGTATGAAAGTTCTCTGTCAACAATAACTGCTGATTGTAAAATTGGCCCTGTTTTAAGAAATAACAAAAAAAAACCTAAATTACGTTAAACTTACAAATTGTTTTGAAACTTCTTTATTGGATAACAAATTATCAAATGCTGTTATGGCTTCGATGTCGTTCAATGGAAGAGATCCTTTAATCAGTTCCAATCCTTCATTATCACATACTGCTCCTTCTGGCCCAGTTTCTAGTCTTCCTAGTCTTTGATCAATGCTTTTTAGCGCCATATTGATAGATACGAACATTCTCGTAATTTTTGTGAGGTGTTCTACAAATTTATATTGTCAAAATTTGTTGCAAAGATATATTACGTAGATACCATACCGCCAATATTAGCATTCGAACTGCCGATATAGTCGCTTATTGTATTTGGATCTTCTATGACATTCTGCGTCCCTGCAACATGCATGTAAGAGTCAAAATGATCAAATAAAAGAAAACTAAGGAACAAGTAGGATGTAATTGTATGTACATGTATTATGCACTTGAAGTATCAATTATTAAATAAAGTTTGATCATGCAAGCTCTCTTCCAATTTGATACATCTTTTATTTTAAACTGATCAACTCAATTTAAAAAATGTACAAGAAGTTTAAGTGTTGTTATTCCACTAGTTAACAGTGTCAAAAAAACTTACTGCTCATAGTAGACTGAGAATGCTGAATAGATAAATCCAAATCTATAAATTGTTCTTCAACATGTGCATCACTTCCTCTAACTTCATTATTTTCTAGAACTTGACATCAACTATAAAAATGAGTTAATTGAAAAAATATTAAAACTCACACAAATTTTGTTCATCTGACAGAATTATTGGCATTGACTGAATTTGGTTTTCACTTGCAAGAATTATTGGCATACATTGGATTTCATTTTCCTGATCACCACTCACACCAGCTTCTTCTGCAATCATTGGACTAAAGAAATAAAGGATTGTCATTAAGTACCGCAAAACACTAGTCGGCTTACCTGATTGGTAGAACATAATTATCAACTTTTGAACCTGGCAACTGAGGTGGTAACGCAATATTTGTTAATTTTCTCCAGTCTATAACATATATGTAGTCACTACCAAAATTAAACAGAAATGATATCACCATACTTTTAGAGGATATGTTTGTATTGCATTCTTCATCTGAGGTGGACTTCCTAGGATTAATAATTTTTCTTTTTCCTCTTCCCTTGCTGGCATCATCCGATGATGCATAATCTAGATCATTAGCAATCTTCCTGCCCTTTTCAAGAGAAACTACAATTACTCATCGTTAATAATGTGTAGATATACCGGGTGATCCAAAAAGAGTAAGGACAGTTTGAATTTCCCGCAAAAACAAAAAAATTGTAAGGTTAGTAAGATATTAATATAATGATTTAAAAACAGGCGGAGTAATTTGATTATTAAGTAGGTACACGATGTAGAGAAAATTCAAATTACGATCGCCAATGTCCAAAGCAAAATACCCCAAAAATTGTAGGCGCGTAATTCAAACTGTTCTCATCTATTTTGGATCAAGTGGTATAGAAGTTGAAATAATTACCCCCCGTCTGTTCAACTACAACATCTTCCACACTCCACTTTTCTGTATTTGGCGGTGCACCTTTAGAAATAAGCGAACCTACATTCTTATTCGAAGTGGGCCACCAACATTTTGTGTTATTATTACACAACCATGACATTGGAATTTCAGACGTACAATAGTCATTTTCATCTGGATGGTCGCTACTGTTTGTGAATGTCACTACCGCATAAGACATCCTGGAAACTTAACAGTACTTATTGAGACAATTTATACACAATTTCAACTTTTAAAATATGCAATAGGTATACATATGTACAAATTTTTCTATAATAGCTATAACTATATAAACTAAACATAATAACAAAATATGCTTCAATGTACCTAAATAATTACGTAAATATTTCCATCATATATTGTATTGCACAGTGGAGGTGGTCAAATATACACAAAAGAAAAATGAAAGAAATATGATTAAATTATTCAGAATGCAATAATGGCACTACAACATACTCTTGATTATTGCAATTATCAGAATAGTCAAAGATAATACACTTTCTTTTAATCTGCTCTAAAAAAATGGTTTCTACGTCACCATGTTGGATATGTATCACACCAACTCCAATCTTAAGCGAGTCGCAAGGTAAATTAAAAAAGGGCACGGCATTTCTAAACCGGAGTATATGCACTACACATTTATTGTCCTTCATAGAAAAATCCTGTATAACACCATACGTGCCATCCTCTAACAGAACACAGTTATCATATTTAGATTTAGAAATTGAAAACCTGTTAAACTTAATGCAGTTAATAACTTGTAAATCGTTTTTAAAATATACAATAATAGGGTATTTCTTGGGAACCTTGTATTCTGCAGGCAGATTATTCTCTTCATGCACTCTGTTTACAAGCTGTTGCAAATAGTTGCCAGAGTTTTTAAGTTTTTGTTTGATTTTTTGCATATAGTTCTCATACTTAAACGCACTAAATGTATCCAGAGGTCCAAGTTCTATAACATCCCCAGCTAAATGTACCAAATTATGAACATTATAGGATAAAAATTCATGTCCGTATAACTCTCCATAATATTTAACAAACCACACTAAAAGCGAATCTGCATATTTATTTAATGTCACACACAATTCTGGATCAATTAGGATTCTTAACGCAACAGTTAGTGAAATAAAATGTTCATAATAAATTGCGGGTAATCTTTTTAATAGAAGTACAGGCCCCGAATATAACAAAAATTGCCTAAACTCTGTGGCTTTCCAGTGGTCAATTTCTAAAAGACTTCTGGGCACTCTAACAAATTCTTTTGTTATAGATCTTTTCATATTCACAAATGTTGCAGAAATCAAGTCCACTTCTTTTAACCGAAGATTTATTCGACCTTTTATCCAGAATTGAAGAAGACGTTTCATCACCCCCAGGCATACTAGATGCATATAATCTAAGGGCACACGAGATACCATTCCAACGCCCAACTTTTCTAAGTAAGAATCTCTTACATGATGTTCAGGATGGTTTTTATTTCTAAATGAACTATCAGTCCTTAACTGACTCTTTATTTCCGGAAATACTACCCTGTTCTGAATGAAGTCACCTTCTTGAATGCATTTCCCGCAACCAAAGTACCCTGTATGACCTTTAGTACCGCATACAAAAGATTTGGCAGGGGTATCACAAATCAATGCATTTAATTTCACGTTTACTTCTACACCGCAGATAATTAATTGGTTTTCTGTAATTTGTAAATATTCATCAACAAATTGTTTAAGGTACTCGTTAGCATTCCCAGGTTTCTTTTTTCCAAAATACACTCCAATCAAAAATGGTTCAGTATGAAAATCAGTTACTATAGATCCTAGCAGTGGCCAAAATTGACTTGTCGAGCTTTTACACAATGGCAATCCATCAATATTGATATTGAATTTAATTATTTTTGGTATTTCTAAAAAGTATTTCCTTATCGAAAGCTCAATCCCATATGATAATCCTAAATGGCAATACTGTCCTCCGCACGACAGTGTCGACACATATCTAGATGTTGTGTGTGTTGGGGTGCTTAATAATGTTCTCACATCTGAGGGTAAATCGTGCCCGTGGCGTCTTAAGATATCCAATAATTTATTCGCAGTTGTGTGTGCTACATTACATTCAATGATAAATGTACGTAATTCTTTTTTAAGATTTTCCTCCCCTGATACGGATTCATTGAAACTTGAGCTCAAAGATGAACAACTATTAAATACATCATTGTATGAAACAGAACTGTGATTGAATGAGTCTGGTAGAGAAACAAAGGAAGCACCATCCGTAGAATCAGTGGGTAAACTTGTGTCAGAATTTTTGCTAACAAAAGCTTTATTTTCATTTTCAGTTGTAATTGCGATAGGTATATTTTTATAAAATGCAATATTTTTTCTACCTCAAGTGAAGTATCAGAGAATAAACTACATGTCGTAGATGCAGAAGGAGATGTTTGTCCAATATCTTCATCTTTATCAGTATTTAGAATCTGGTCTACTCCTAATTGGATCAACTGATTCTTACGCCTTTTGCTCATAAGATGAAAGTCTTTGGGCATGACTACGGTTGGTTTGGTCCTAGGGCCTATAATTTAAAAAAGTGTCATTGGCACACTGTCTCTAAAGTTACGGAAAAAAGAGCAGTGATTACAGTTGTTCTTTAGTATAACGTGAACAAACCAGTTTACGTAAAATGCACACTACCAAGAGGCGGTGAAGAATTTTCGCCTCCTACAAAATTACCTCAATCTCCACAATACAAAAAAATATTAAGATGACCGTAAGCGAATGGTAACAAACACATAAAGGCCCCATATAGCGTTCAGTCTGAAAGGATATCATGACGGTAGATTGGTCAAAGGTTACCACTCACACACAAAATGATTGGTCGTTATGATCGATCATTCAGATGTTTGAAACGCAACAGTATTGTGCTCACATAATTCAATATGTGCAAACGAGATTGACCGCAAAGAGACCATATACTGTCGATTCATCAATACAATTATATTCACCATTTCATGAGTTTTCATTGCGTTTACCAATACCCCATTAGGTTAAGTCGAGGGTTAAGTAGATCGTTAACGATCTCGACACACCGTACCGATATCGTGGTTTCAATCGGTCGGAACCGACGGATTCAACAGATCAATCGTACCTTTTATGGGGCTCTTTACGATGCTTTCAGTAATAACATGTGCAGGATAGACCAAACCATTTTTATCATGTGAGCTGATTTTGACTTACTGCAGTTCTATGAAATACCTAATTTAATTTCAATAAAATCGCAGTCTGTTGCAGAATTGTTTTAAACATGGTCAAATCTTCCTTTACTTAAGCATGTCTTTATAGGTTAGGTCGCCTCCACTTTCAATTGTTCGTAAAGTTATGATATTTGTGATAAGTTTCGTCGTTTTATAAAACAAACCTCTACAATGTAGCTATACTTAAACACTTAATTAAACACTTAACAACATAAATAAACTAGGATATACTTACTTTCACGTGTCACTCGTCAGCTAATTCACAAATCACCATAAACATTAAACAAAACAGAATACAGAAAACGCGGGCAACGGCCAGCGGAATGCGGCAACTTGCATTGCATTAGCGTCGAGTAGGCGCAGCTCTACATACATGCAACACAAATTAGAAATTAACACGTCCATCATTATATTGATCATAAATAACGAGAAATTAACAGAAAATTACAATTATACAATTTTCGGTTAAGGACGGAGATACATTCGTTTCGTAATTTGTTTACCTGCATCTTAAATGTTATATAACATATATATCAAGGAAATGTTTTCGAGTTATGTACCATGGCTATGGTTGCAGATATGTTTAGGAAATGTAGCATATGTTATGTAACTATATGTTAGATATAGATAACTCCAGTACTGAATGTTATATATTATTTACATTACTGAAATGTTCTCATATTTATATTACTTCATAACAATTGCAGATATGTGTATGTTATCTATTATCCGTTATATAACTTGGTACTTTCCAGTTATATAACAGCAACAATGAATGTTTGCTGGGTAACTACTTACCTACATGTAATAATACATACATAATTTCTTTTCACCAGGTGGGCAACAAGCCGAGACATTTAGAAATAGGAAAGGATATTTCTCCTTAAATGTGCAAGTTATCAGTGATGCAAAGCACTACATACGAAATATTGTCACTCGATGGCCTGGATCAAGCCATGACGCAAATATATTTGATAATTCACTCATTCGAATGCAATTTGAAAATGGGGAAATGGGCAATGGACTGCTATTAGGCGATAGTGCATACCCCCTCAGATCGTATCTAATTACACCTATTAACAATCCCCAAGGTGAAATAGAGACCCTGTTTAATGAATCGTTAATCCGCACGAGAACTGTAGTGGAGAGAACTTTTGGCATTTGGAAGCGGCGTTTCCCTATACTATCCGTAGGAATGAGGTGTCGTGTTGAATTAGCACAAAATATTATTGTCGCCACAGCAGTAATACATAACATTGCACGTCAAGAGAGAGATGCCATTGACGATTTGGAGGATGACCCACTAATAGAGAATGTACTGGCTCCTCCACCTAGGAATGACAATGATAACCACCATCATAGAAGAGAGTTATTAGAATATTTTGAACAGTTGTACAATCATAGAAATTAAAAGTAACTTTATAAAATAACTGAATTTTAATACAAATTTTACAAACAAAATTGCTTTTGTAATAATTTTTGTTTCAATTTTAAGATCTCCATTTCTAACTCATGCTTTGCTGTTTCCCTTTCACGCCTTTCTTTCATGAGTTGTAACTCTTCCTGTCACACTTCTTTTTCCAATTCCACATTTGCCAACTGCAATTTAACCAGCTCCTCTCTACTGTTTGCTAATTTACTGAATTTTTGTTCTAGATTTGCTTTACGGTTTGTTTTTTGTTGCAAAGCTTTGTGAGGTGGTTCTTTCATTTTTTGTGGGGTCCACGATTGCCAACCAGTTGCATTTGTTGCTAGATACAATAAATACTCACTTCAATTAAGGAATTAAAATGAAAGGAAGCACTTACCGACATCACTTGCACTTGCTTCAATTGGAGTTGCTTCTTCATTTGGCATATCTATCTCGATGGGGATATCCAAAACATATGCAACGGGTTCTAAATGAGATGTAGCTCTGGTGATGTTTACACCCTACTTTCATCTTCACTAAGTTCTGCTGTCGACATTGGTGCATCGATTACAATCGGTTGAGTACATTCGACTGGTTCTGGTGGTGGAATAACAGGAATTTCTAAATCTGCAGCACTTTTGTAAATAATGTAATAGGGTCTTTTTAATTGTTACCTTTATCACAATCATTTTGCGTGTGTAATCCGTCCACTTGCGTACTTATAATAGCTAGCAGCTTCTCTTCGTAGTCAGTATAGGTCACTGTATCGGGAGGGCCTCCACCAGTCCGATATAATCCACACTTCTCTTTACTACGTTTCTGCTGGAGACTTCGTTTTATGCCTTCGTATTTTATTTTTAACATTTTAGTTGATCGAAACGTGGATCCGCTGTTTGCATTAAATGCACTTTCGAGGTTGATCCACGCGTCCTCTTTCTGTTTGCATGTCACAGCATCAGTTTGTTTATTTTCAATAATTTTTTTCCGTTTGCAAACTTCGTCTACTAGTAACCTTGATTCAGCCATTGTAAAATTCGAAGATCGTGCCCGTTTTTTGTTATCACTAGCTGTAAAAACATGTTGTAATAGTAGTGAATATTCCGTAATTGGTAAAACTTACCTGTATTTGCATCCATGGTACCGGTACGTAGAATAACTAATACCGAACAAGTAAAAGCGCAAACGGTATATAACCTAACAAAACCACCTTAGAAAGTAACGTAAACGTTGTCACTATCTTTGTTTAATACTAGCATTCGTATGCCGCATCTCTCTCTAAGAATTACAGATCGTTTAAAAACGTTGACGCTCACCTACTGGTGTGCGTGACTATTCGTTTAAAAACATACCAACCTTTTCAGTATCTACTTAACAGCCAGTAGCACATGAATAGACAGAATTGCTTTACTTTTCATAAGTAAATTTAACTAACCAGTAGTTACTTAAGATTTGTTGGGTAGTTGAATAAACCGGCCCTTAATGTAATTAATTCCAAGTAAGGTTTATGTTAACTTATTTTTAAATGTTGTAGGGTAAGCGGTACAGTTATTGACACATTAAGCAGATATCATCCAAATTTCTTTAAAATTTTCATTATAGCCAACGTAATGACAAATACAACTGTTTTGTCATGTAGTGGAAAGATCAAAGATTTGAATCACCTTTATACTTTCTGCTTGGCAAACGATTATAGTGATATAATAAGTATTTAAATCGAATTTACCTCAAATCACAGTGAGACATTCTTGTGATCGTTATTGACACATCACATATTACAGTTATTGACATCGCTTCATATTTGATGGTTTGCTGAAAAACGGACGACCAGGTACCTACCCACCTAGGTAGGTAGGTTATATTTAATGAGACAGAATAGGTAATATAAGAAACACCAACAAAAAGTATTTTTATTTAAGGAGCTATCTATTTATTAGTGCAGGTATCACAAATAAACACTTCTGTGGCATCTTTTCGAAATTTTAAAATACAATGGTAATGATATGCTCTATTGCAGAATTTGCATTTCGCACCTTTTTTATTACTATTCATGTTCAATGTGCACGTAAAGCATAGGCCTGAACGCATAGATTGGTTTTCTGGAAACATAATATCTTTTAGCACAAGTTCAGAGGTTTCTGGTTCACTACAAATCACTTCTGTCGTTGCATTACTTTCGCCATCACATTTATTTGAGGAAATATTTTCTTTTAAACATTCCTGGATGGATTCATTTTGTGCAGCATCAGTAGTGTCTAACTGCACAAGTTTGGTTTTTGATGAACGTATAGGGTTGGTAATTTTGCTCTTTTTCTTTTTAATCAAATTTGGTTTCATTGTCTCTTTCTTTTTTTTATTTTCAATTCTTTGTTGCTTTCTATATTCTTTCTTTTTTTCTTCCTCTAGTTTTTTATCTTTCTTCTTGTTTTGAATTTCCTTCCAGCTTGCCGAAGTTACAACGTATGGCATCCTTTCTATGTCACGTTTATTTTTTCTTACTGGCGACTGAGGCCAAAGTAGAAATTCATTTAAACCAGGCTGTACAGTTACTTCCTCTATTACTTCGTTGCAACTAACTGCGCCAGAAGTTTCTACTGCACCAGTAGTTTGTCTATAATTACCTGTAGCTGCATCATTATCATCATCATTATTGACAATTAAAATCTCCATATGCTGTATATCAAACAAATCATTTTCAGGTGTAAGATAATGTTCATTACTTTTAGAGTTTTCTCCTCGTACAACTATATTAGATATAATCTTTATCTTTTCTTCAATTTGAGGATGGTTGTCAAATTTACTATTTTGCAATGAAGGCCTGTCAATATGTGAAAAACCGCCAATCCCTTCTACCTCATGGATTGTATCACCAATCTGGCGTACAGTCGTGTCGTCGTTACTTTTTATTAATTCATTTTCTGAGAAAGTAATATCTTTCTCAATGGAAGTTGGGGCCCCTGAGCTATTTTCCGTTTCAATGTCATTATGTTGATACTCTCTCCATAAACTGTATAATACCCAGAACTCCTCAGAGTGTGTTTCTCCTATCTGATCCAGTATTTTGAATTTTTCTATTCTTTCAGCTCCAACAATTTCTTTAAACTTATGGTAAGCAATGGTTGTATTATTTTCTACGTTGGTTGTAGATTTACATACCTCAGCCTTTCCTCTCCCTAAACATTTGGAAAAATCTATGCTATTGGGATTCCAGGGATGAATACCGCACGCCCTGAACCCGTTTGATATTGTCTCTGGTTTTATGGAATAGTCTATAACATTTTTTAAAATGGGAGCAAATTTTTCTTTAGTTAGTGCTACAGAAGGGTTTTCACGTCTCCAATCCAAAACTCCTTTTTTCCATCCATTTTTCAGAGGTTTAAATGCAGAAACATCCGCTGGTTGAAGAATTCTTGTAGAGTTAGGGTAAAGTGCAATCAGAACAATACGTAAATTCGTGCAAAGTTCACTTAACTTGATATTTAAGTGAGTGCTGTGTCCATCCACAAACAGTAAGATGGGGAAGACAATTCCTTGTTTTACAAGAGCTGGATAAAGTACATTCCCAATGTATTCATAAAATACCTCCGTCTTCATCCAACCATTGTCGCTTAAACCAATTCCCCACGATTCAGGTACTGATTTTGCTATTTCCGAAGGTAACCTCTTATATGGAAAGATGATCATGGGTGGAGTTGTTACACCGGCAGCGGAAAATGTAAACATGACCGTTATGGTTGCGGTCTAGGACAACTGGCCGCCGCCAACTGGCCACCGCCAACTGGCCGCCGCCAACTGGTCG